AAAGAAAAATTAAGAAAAAGGTTGTAATTAAAACCAAAACAAAACAAAAAAAGAAAAAATACCCATGGCTTATTTTCTGTCTCCCAGCACCACAGAGGTTATTGTGGGCTTGTGGACACTGGGCTTGCTGAGTTAAAAGCTCTCTGTGGATCCTGGACCCACCACTTACGGCATCCAGACCCTGTTCCAGTCTGGGCTTTTAAGGTGGAGGGGGACAGTTCTTTGGCTTTTAAAACTCTGGCTTTTTTTCTGTGTCTTAGTGAGACCAGGGCTGGCGTGGGCTTGTGGACCCAGGGTTTGTTGAGGTTGCAAACTCCGTGACAGCTGGACCTGCCTATGATGGTGTCCAGTCTCTGCTCCGATCTAGGCTTCAAGGTAGAGTGGGAATGTAACAGTCCCTCTGCCCCAGAGAGGGTTCCCACAGCTCCTCTGCTCCTGGGTCGAGTTCTCCCCTTGTCTCTTTCATATGTTAGTTGCTCTTTTAAACCGCATCCTTTTTTCTGTGTCCCAGGACAGAGGGATGCATTCTCCATTCTCCGTCCCTCAGTATCTCCCTCCCCACTGCCATTGACAGCGTGGGTGCCCTCCCCTGCAGTGTCTCTTGCTGTTCTCTTGCCATTCTCCCTGCCTTTGGTTATTCAGTAGCTCTTCAATCAGCCCTCAGTACTTCAGGGGAAATTGTTCTATCAATAGGTGTAATTTGTGTTCTGGTGGAGGAAGGGAGTTCAGGGTCTTCCTACATTGCCATCTTGGACCCGACTCCTGGAAACTCCTGGAAACTGCATTTTTAATACAGCCTGCAGGAGATTCTGATACAGGGGTTTCTGGGACCACACAATGTGAAAGACTATCCAGAAATATTTTGTAAAAAGTAGTTTCTTGCAGTAAATTTACTTGTGGGGGACAATTTGCAACAGGAGACCTGGATGAATTTTGCGTGGTCAGTTTACTAGCTGTGGGATGATCCATGAGTCAAATCACTGAGTCTGAATTTCCTTTTTTTGCCCCACACCGAATACAGGACGCCAAGCACCGGAGTGCAGTTTAGATCTGTGAGGCCTAAGGCCATCCTTTAGTTTTCCCAGCTGTAAAATGGGAATAGTAACCCATGTAATATTGTTTAATGGCTATCTCATAAATTCATGTATTTATGCTTCAAGCTCTGAAGGACTGATAGTATCCTGAGATTTTTTTTTTAATTTTTATAAAACTTCTAGCCATGATGTATATAATCATAAAAACCTAGGGAGTATAGTTTTCATGGTTGATTTGATGAAAGAGTGGTCAGGTAGATAAGCGAAAGGCTCCTTCCATTCTTGAAGCTACAGAAAGCAGAGACTCTTGTGTAACAAAACTGACATATGGTTTTCCCAACAACAGGAGTATCATGAGCTATTTTGAGTCCCGAGATGATTGTTGTATCTAGTGAGAGGAACCTGCAACTTGGAAAAGTCTGTAATTCTGATTGGTTCTCTTACTTCACAGTTTGTTATCCTGGTCGTCACAAAGTGACATACCTTTATAAATGGTACAAATACTTGTGGTACTGTAAGTGGTATAAATACTACCCTTAGACCGAGGTAAGAGGGGCCCCTGGCTTTGGCCCTGTGCTTTAGAGGGTCCCGCATTTCATAGACACACACAAAAATGTAAATTTTTAAAAGAAGACGTGGTGTCTCCGCTGCTCAGAATCTGGTGCTTAACCCTATAGCAGAGCAGGACTTGCACAACCTAAATATCCAGCCCAGGGGAAATGTGTCTCTGTGTCTTACCTTCTTTGCTCAAAGAGGAAGGAAGTTGTATTGTGCAAATGTCTCGTGTTGGGAGGGTGCTGATTTGAGAGACACACACAGGTTTGGATTGCAGGGAGGAGCTGAGCAACAGAAGTGGTTAGATTAGGGAAAAAGCAAATTTACCCACCTGGTCAAAGACTTCCTTTCAGCCCAAATGAAGAATTATTTTCCAGTACACTAGTAAAAGTCGCCCCTCTTCATGCTTCTCTTCTTATTCTAATTCCTGGCTCAAGAAGCACTCATGAATCAGTAGAGTATTTGCATATGGTGGTCAAATAACATTCTGCAAATTAAGAAATTCACAGTCCTCTTAAACCTGTGAGCATGTAGATTTAGATTTCTACATGGAGTCAAATTTCCTTCTGCATTTGGACTCTTCTTTGGAGCCAGTTTGCCCATGAATGGTTGTTCGGTACCAGTGTTTAAAGATAAAATGATATAGGACCTGATTTTCATACCCATACTCTACTCAGACAATAGGATACGGGAGGTCTCCAACCTATCTGTTGAGTACAAAAGCAGTAACAATATTTTAAATGCTAGTAATAAGAAGGGTACAATACAATGAAAACAAACCTAGAGGTTAAAAATAGAAGGCAACAGAAGAGCTGACTTTCTTTATATTCATTTGGAACAAGAGTCAATTCATCAGTTGATTAATCTACTTTTTGGCTATTATGAGTTTTTTAATAGTTACATTGACATGTAATCTATATACCGTGCAGTTTACACACTTAAAGGGTCCAATTCAATAGCTTTCAGCATTTCACAGAGCTGGGCAACCATCACCACAGTTAATTTTAGAAGATTCTCATTACTCCCAAAAGAAAATTCCATGCCCCTTTGTTGTCACCTATGATCCTGCCACTCATCCCAGCCCTAGGCAACCACTATCTACTGTCTATCTCTATAGATTTGCCTTTTCTGAGCATTTCATATTAATAGACCTTTTGTGATTGGCTCCTATCATTTAGCATAATGTTCTCAAGGTTTATCTATATTGTAGTGTGTATCAGTGCTACATTTCTTTGGAATAAATATAATAAGTACTACACTTATTTATACTGCTGAGTAATATTCCACTGTGTGACTATCCCTTATTTAATAGGTCAATTCATCAGTTGAAGAATCTACTTTTTTTTCTTTTTTTAAATATTTTCTTTTTTTATTTGAGAGAGAGAGAGTGAGAGAGAGCACAAGCAGGGGGAGGGGCAGAGAGAGAGGGAGAAGCAGACTCGAGCCTGGTGTGGGGCTCAATCCCAGGACCCTGAGATCACCACCTGAGTGGAAGTCAGATACTTAACCAACTGAGCCACCCAGGTGCCCCTTAGTGAGTCTACTTTTTGCCTATTATAAATAATGCTGCTATGAACGTTCACATATAAGTTGATAGGAACATGTTTTCCTTTCTCTTGGGTATATACCTAGGAGTGGCATCGCCGGGCCATACAGTAACACTATGTTTAACCATTTGAGGAGCTTCCGAACTGTTTGTGAGTCCCTGCGCCGTGTTATACGAAGAATTTTAGTTGGTTTCCCTCTTGCAGCCTCCCAGGAAGGTACAGATCACCAGCAAGAAGCAGTTGTACTGTAAACCAGAAGGAAAGTTTCTTACTTATTAGTCAAACCAAATGACTCCCTTCCCAAAACTAGGTGCTGGGGGAGATGGTGGAGGAAGGGTGGGGAGACAGGAACACATGGTCTCTGGGGAACCCACATTTCCCAGGTTGGCATCCGAGGTTGATTGTGCACATGTTGCACTGGGTGCAGATTGTGAAAGTCAGTTGACAGGAAGTAGGAAGAAAGATAAACATGGACCATCACTCAAGGTCTGCTGCCCCTGGGGACTGTGTCTAAGCTCTGTGGTAAAAGGGGCTACAGGCAGAAGCTGATGAATCTTTCACTGAGGACTCTGAGGCTGGTACTCAGTACTACTTGGCACCCAGCCAGATGACAGAAATTCTCCTTACTCCTTCAAGGTCACTAACATATTTGAGAACATCTTTGCCAGGGTATCAGGACTCTCAAGGTGGCAATCGGATGTAGAGAATGATGAGACATATTGAAGCAGTTTTGTGGGCAGAGGACATTAGTGCGTATGGGTGTCTGAGGAGACATGTAACAGATGCGATCGGGTCATTCTGACGGACTTGTTCATCAACACCCAGGACATGCCTACCAGGGGCTTGTTATTTTCCTGGGTGGGTATCTGAGGGGAGTCAAATGTCATGCACTGAGAAATGACGCTAAGAGCCAGGGAATGACGAGTCAGCCCAGATAATGTGGCTCCATTCATTGTCCCTGGATAGTGAGATTTCAGGAAACATGAGCTATAAACATAGTTTTGTTTATTGTTTTCTAATCATTTCCAAGGGCTTTACGTCCTCAAATAGAAATTGAGTGTACTATGTCATCTGTCTCCTCCCTATTCTTTCCACCTTTTTCCTTTCAGGAACCTGTTCTAGCAAGGGTTTTGCTGCATGGGCAAGATTGTGTACACCTGGTGGGCCTTCTTCAGCACTCTGCAGGGGCTAGCGGTCCTCTCGCAAGGTCAGTGTTCCTGCCTCTCTACCTTCCATTCAGAACACCCCTGGTTTTCCTCCCCAGGCACCAGATCCAATAAAAAGGAAGCTAAACCTTTCCCTAAGATGTACGCTAGTCCAATTCAGTCCGATGGAGTGAGTTTACCTTTTCAGCTGGTGTAAATCTTATTTTCCGTCGAGACCTCTCAGAAAACAAGAGAGACTTCGGGGCTGTTTGTCTCTTTCTATTCTTTAATTAATAGGAAAAAACTCTCCAACATGCGTTTGGATCGCCTCCAGAGTGGGGCATATAGCAGAATGGGCGACACTTCTTCATTCTCATAATGGAGGTCAGAAGAGGAGATAGAATGCAGATGGAAACACATGGTGTTAACAAGATGTAACAGAGAGGAGAAACAGTCCACCCACTGTCCGAGTGTGGGGGCGGGGGGTTTGTGTGCACGGCGGTGCACGGTGGTGGGCGTCAGGGTGTAAGCTAGAGTCCTGGATTCTTAAGGCTTAGAGAAAAAAAAAAGTCTGTTCCACTCAGTGGTTATAATGTTAGACCAGTCTGGGTTACATGGAGCCAGTTTGCTACCAATAAAACATTTCATTAATCAGTAGCTGGGTCTAGAAGACTTATGGTGCAGCAAAATTTCAAAAAAAAAAAAACCCAGGACACTCCTTTGTGTTCCATCACCTCTAAGTTATTTATTTATTAAATCTATGGTTTTTTCAGGAATCCATACTATGCATACTGCTGATCTCAAGTGCACACAACACAATTTTTAATACAGAAAATAACGTGAAAGCCATTATAGTAGCTGGAATTTTTAACTTAAAAAAAATCTTGAAGTTTATATAATGTTTTCATTGCTTAATAAAAATGTTAATATATACTTAAAGTTATTGAAATACATTTCACATATAATACTGTACAAATTTAAGGTTGATTTGATACATTTATATATTGTAATATGATTGTAGCAAAAGTTACTGTAGTGATAGTTATCACCTTTATCATGTCATATAATTATCATTTCTTTTCTGTGGTGTGAATAATCAAGATCTAGCCTTTTAGCAAGTTTGATGATTACAATACAATATTGTTGTCTATATTCAAGATACTATACTATACCTTAGATCTCCAGGACTTATTTACTAGTTACCTTCAAACAACATCTCTCACACTTCCCCAACCCCCAGCCCCTGATAACCACTATTTAAATTTAAATTAATCCTAACAGGCAAATATTTTGCAACCCAGAGGATGACTGAGGGTCTGTTTCATGCTGGGTCACCTGAGTCTGTTCGCATTAATCCTGATATCATGGGCCATTCAGTATTTACCTAGAAAACCCCAATCACCCCAAGCAAACCATGAATTTTATGGTTCCCTTGAGGATTTTCAGGGTGAGAAATTTTATTTCACCTAACACAACATGTGTAATTGGGGAAAAAAACTCGCTGTTATTGATGTCATTTCACAAGACCTTTCGCTAGGTCCTTGGTCTCCAAATGAGCCTTCTGTTCTGCTGTTTTTCTATTACCTTGGGCCTGGGCTCATCCAAGCATTTCTGAACAAAGCAAGTCTTCATTGTACAAGGAAATTTTCCTAACAGTGGCCAAGAAAATGAGATTTTTCTCCATATGATTACAGTCTACAATGACAACATTCTTCTCTCTTTCTCTTTTGTCTACTCAATCCCTGTCCCTACTGGCGTGACATTTATTTTTCCAGACATTTTAAAGAAATGAATTATTTTGCTTTCTAGCGTATTCTACAGAATCCCCCTTTTTATTCTTCATACGCTGTAATACAGGGAGGGCAGAATGGAGGCGAAATCTCCCCATGTGCCTCCTGAAACTCTTGGACCCTGATGGCCTGACCCCATTGCTTGTCTTGGATGTGTTCCTTCTAAACTCAACCTGTTCTCTGTTCTCTTTTTTTCAAACTATGTTCCCACCTCAGTCAATGGGACAACTGAACTCAGGTTGTATAGGACAGTCTAGATTGAGGACTGTCTGGGGAGGAAGCGGAAGTGAGGGAGAGGAGATACCCAGTCCTATGGAGGCTTTGGTCCCCTGGCCTTTGAATGGACACAGCACATTAGCGTCTATGCAGGGCCAAACTGTGTAAGATCTAAAATGACTCCAAGGGTGGAAAAACATTGCAAAACGGACCACACTGTTACAGATGTGAGGGATCCAGCTGCTTTATATAAACCTAGAGACAAACCCAAGGCATCACCGCACGGAGGATGACTAAGGGAATGTCACAATGCAAACTGCTCCCAAGAGGTCAGTTGGGAAGTAGCCCCCTAACCAAGCCCTGGGACCCTCTCGGCTCCAGTCTAGTCCCTGTCTCAGAATTCCATGAGCAACTCATGTTTTAACACTCAGCCCAGGAGGTTCCTCCACAAACCTGGTCCAGACCCATGGCCAGCGGCCCAGTCCATGTCTATGCCACGGTGCACGGTGGTGGGCATCAGGGTGTAAGCCAGAGTCCTGGATTCTTAAGGCTTAGAGGAAAAAAACCCCAGTTGTACGAGTTGCCCAATATCGTGAATACCCACTTGGTGGAGGGGTTTCTGCTCCCTTCCCTCCATCATCCCACTCACACCATATCCTGATTCCTCATTCCTTGGCAAAAGATGCTGAACAGAGGAAGCTTCCAGAGTCCAAACGCCTCTCAGGGTTTTCCTCTGCTGGCCGCATGTCTCCACTCAGCTCCTGAAGAAACGCCAAGAGGTGCAAAGCTATGGAATCGGCTTCATTTTTAGAAAGCCTGATAAGGGCAATTTTTTGCAGCTTATTTTTCATCTTTTCTTTCTCCTTTGATTCCAGGTCGATTTTCACACCCTGTATGAAATGATGGATGGCCTTGTCTTCACTCTTCATCTGATACAGCTGGAAGTTGCCATAGCGCAGATGGAGCACCTGTCTGGCCCCAGGAGAAAGCGCTTTGCTGAATTCTTTTTGGAAGTAATGCTCCGCGTGGTCATACTGGCTTGCCTGCGCATAGAGGCAGGCCAGGTAGGAGCAGACACAGGGGAAGTCTGCATTGGCCTCATCCACTCTCTTTAAATGATGCACAGCTTGTCCTATGGCTTCCTGTAACTTCTCCCTGTTCCCGGACTCATTCTTTCCTGTGCCCTGGAGCATCTCGAGGACTTTTGTCCTGCAGAGGCAGCCCATATGCCAGTGCAGGGAGGCATTGTTCGGCATGCCTTCTAGAGCCTTTCTCAGCAGCTCTATAGCTTTGTCCAGCGCTCCTTTTCTCTGATACAGTTTTGCTGCTCCGCAGAGCACATCTGTTGAGCACGGGGCTCCCTTCAGCGCCTCCTCCACGAGCCTGTCTCCTTCCCCCTCTTCGTTCATCTTCAGAAGTTTCAGAGCCAAGAGGACTTTGGCATACTGGTTGTTGGGATTCAGCTGAATGGCCCGCCGCAGAGGGTCGATGGGATTCTGAGGCTGCAGCCAGGTATCCAGACGGTAGCTCGCGATGGCCAGTCCGGAGGCGAACTCCGGGTTCTTGGGCTCCTTTTCCAGAGCTTTCTCAAAGCACACCTTGGCCCTCTCGTGGTGCCTCCCTCCACACTGTAAGCGGGCCCACCCCTCCTCGAAGTCCAGCGCAGGACTCTCCATTCTGTAGGGGCTGCGAGACTTCTCACAGACCCGTCTCACCTTGTCGACGTACATCTGAGCATCTGCGTGTCTGCCCAGGTGATAGTAGACCCAGGCGTAGTTACCCCAGGTGACCAGACTTCGGGTTTCCGCTTGATCCGGGTGCTCCCGCTGGATCAGCTCCTCCGCCTGGCGCAGGCGCTCCAGCGCCGCCTCGCTGTGGCCGCGCTGCTGCTCTATGTAGGCCAGTAGGTTGAACACCGTGGTTCTGAATTCGTTGTCCTGAAACTCCGTGGCGTTACACACCTTGTCTTCGAAATCATCCAGGGACTTTCCCGGCTCCGCCAAGTTCCAGGTGAAATGGCATTTCAGTTGCCGTAGGCAATTCTCCAAGGCGGTCCTGGTGCTCTCACTGGAGGGCAAAACAGAAAGAGGCACGCTTTCAGACACAGCGCAGATTCTCCAGGCAAGAAGCGGGGAGCATGGCAAGTATGAATCTCTTTCTCCTCCTCCTCCTCCTCCCCGACGGTGTTCACCCCAACCAGAAAAGAACACTATTTCCTTTTCGTTTCTTTCTATATTTTGGCGTATGCATGAAGTGCACGGGACGCAGGGTTGGTGACTGTGGGCGGCAGAAGCATTAGGGAGAGGGCTGGGGTGGGGCTGGGGTTCCCTGAATAGGGCGGTTTGTGTCAGGTCGGGCTGGCGCTCTGCTGTCTGCCCTGAGGGCCTGTGCAGGGGCAGACACATCTGGGGGAACGGATTTCAAAGGAGGGTTGACTTCATGCAGCTTTTTGTTTTTAAAGATTTTATGAAAGAGACAGAGAGAGCATGAGCAGGGGAGGGGCAGAGGGAGAGAGAGAGGGAGAAGCAGACTCCCTGCTGAGTGTGGAGCCCAAGGAATGGGAGTGGGGGCCCTCCACATGGGGCTCGATCCCAGGACCCTGAGATCATGACCTGAGCCTGAGCCACAGTCACATGCTGAACCGACTGGGCCACCCAGGTGCCCCTGACTTGATGCAGTTTTTTTGTTTTTTTTTTTAAGATTTTATTTATTTATTTGACAGAGAGAGAGAGCGACAGCAGGAACATAAGCAGGGCGAGTGGGAGAGGGAGAAGCAGGCTTCCCTCTGAGCAGGGAACCGGATGCAGGGCTCGATCCCAAGACCCTGGGATCATGACCTGAGCCGAAGGCAGACGCTTAACGACTGAGCCACCCAGGCACCCCAACTTGATGCAGTTTTTAAGAAGAAAGGCCATTTGATTGCTTTGTGTTCCTGTTCTTCATCTTACCTAGCAAATGCTTTCCTAGTTTGAAAATTTTAGCTTTAGAATTGCCTATTCTGTTCATGTCTTGCCAGCTTGATTTTAATCTCATTATCCCTCTGAAATTCAACTGCATTTTGTCTCCTATATTTTTAGTTTCTTAGTTCTCCTTAAATTGTCCTTTTTGCCCTTATTACTTTACACTTCCTGTCTTATTAGTTGAGCTTTCCATATATCCTTAATTGAGTTTCTTTGGTTATCCAAACTTTTTTTTTAAAATCAGATTGGTTTTGTCTTGTCTTTTTATTAATTTGGCATTCTCTGTTCTCCTTTTATCTGAACTTTTCCATTTTAACGATTTAAATCATGTTTCAACAATTCTAAATGCTTATTTCCTCTGCTTTTGTGTTATTCTACCATTTAACTTTATTATCATCGTATATGTTAGCAATGTTTTAAACTTTTATTCTGGAATAAAATATAATCATTTTTTCTCCCCTCCACCCCACTGCTATTTCTTAGACTGGTGATTTCTGTTCTTAACATTTCTCATTTGTGTTGGTCTATTAAAACTTCTGCATTTGTTGCTATAATTATCTTTTTTTTTTTAAAGATTTTATTTATTTATTTGACAGAGAGAGACACAGTGAGAGAGGGAACAGAAGCAGGGGGAGTGGGAGAGGGAGAAGCAGGCTCTCTGCTGAGCAGGGAGCCCGATGCAGGGCTCAATCCCAGGACCCTGGGACCATGACCCGAGCCGAAGGCAGACGCTTAACGACTGAGCCACCCAGGTGCCCTTATAATTATCTTTTGAAATTTTATTTTTCCTCTCCTGTGGTTTGCTTTCACACAGGGTGTTGCAAGTGAAACTATAGGAGGAGGCTCACAAGACAGCTAGCATCTTTTCTCATGGGAAATGCTCTTTTTCCCTTAAGGTACTCTTGCAATTCTTCTGGGAAGATTTCCCATTCCCTTCAGTGTTGGTTCTTAAAAATCAAATCAAATGAAATAAATTACAAATAAGGGAAACTCACCACACAGAAACCTTATCTTGAATAACTTCAGAGATGAGGTTAAAAATCATTAACTGCCCAAAAATCATTTCTCTGCATTGCCTATGTATTGGAGTCCCTGAAGTGTTGCTTTTTCTCACTTAAAAAATTTTTTTTCATGGCATATATTAATTAGCCCTTTTATGAGGAGCTGATATTGTAAATATTATGGATTCTGACATAGATAAGCAGTAGATATGTGGGAAGTTATGTTATGTGGCAAAGACCATCTTTGAAATGCTTGTCCAAATGGAAGATTATATTCCCCATTTTCTTCCTGCTCCCTATCTTTCACTTTTTAGACCCCGCCCCCCAATTTGATGATTAGATCAGGGCTGGGCACCCAAACTCAAGTGGAAGCTGGAAATGGAGCTGGTTGGGGGGTGGGGAGCCAGGTGTCTGGAGTTAGGGAGAGCACCGTGCATGCTGGAGGGCTCTCGGGGGCCATGATCTGACCCATGCCCTGCAGAGAGTGTGACCTGGACGTACATGGAGCAGACAGAGTCTGGGTCCCCCACGCTCTCTGTTGTCCTGTTCTGGCCCTCCCGGGGTTGCTCTAGTCCTATGTGTGGGTCCTGTGAGCCATTCCAGGAACTTTAAATCAGTTCCTGTTCATTTCTGTTACTTGAATCAGATGGAGACTTAACAACCCCAAGTAGAATAAACAGAAGAGAGGAAGGAAAATGCGTAGGAGTTTCTGCTTGGGGTAGGACCCTCTGTCCATTCAAAGTGCCGGACAGGTCTTCGTGAGGAGCCAGGTTGTCTGAGCCTCTTGACGTAATATGGGGAATGGGATGGGTGGTGTGTGTATGTGCATGCACATGCACGCACGCACGTGTGTGTGTGTGTGTGTGAGCCCAGGAGAGTGCCTGGCGTGGTATCTGGCATTGTAATGACAGCAGCCTCCCCTTGAAAAGTTCATGTACAACCTGATCTATTTTCCTTCTCGGTAAGGTTACATAAGCTTAGCAATAAGCTTTTTAGTGACTTTCTCATTTAATTTTTTTAAAGATTTATTGATTTATTTTAGAGAGATAGTGAGAGCAGGGGGAGGGGTAGAGGGAGAGGGAGAGAGCGAATCTCAAGCAGACTCCCTGTAGGGTGTGGAGCCCGACATGGGGCTTGATCTCACAACCCTGAGATCATGACCTGAGCCGAAATCAAGAGTTGGACGCTTAACTGACTGAGCCACCCAGGCGCCCCACAACTTCCTCATTTTATAAAAGAAGCAGAGACAGTGAATACAGTTGAAATGATCTCCAACGTATAAAGCACATAGTCAATTGTGCATTTGCAAGATAGAGGCATTTACTATACACACTTAGGTAAAATCCCTTTGAGCAGCCATTCAAAAGTACCCCATTTCACTGGTGATTCTGGGCTTTTATTTCCACCAGTAAATCAGAAGCTGGTTCCAGACGCTTGCTTCCTGGACTCAGACTTCTGAGACCTATGCTTCTGATGGCTCGAGAAGTTCCAGCTGTTTACACACAGCAATGTCTTGCCTTGCTTCTTGTCTTCATGAAAGCCTCAGTGACACCGCGTACCAGGCTCAGAGCTAATGCTGCTGCCAGTATCTTAGGGCATTACTCGCACCACTGAGGAACCTGTTAGAAATGCACATCCTTGGACCTCAATTTAGGACTACCAAATCAGAATCTGAAGGGCGGGGGTTGAGCCCAGGAATTGTCTTTAGCAAGCCTTCCAGATAGATCTTATGCATGCTCAGATTTGAAAACCACTGTCTTAGAGCACTGGGCCAATGCCTGGTGACAGTGCCTATAGCCAAGGGATCAAAGAAAAATAAAAAAGAGACTGGTGGGTCTGTGTTATTAAGGGAGAGATTCTAAGAGAAGACCGTGCTAAAGTTATAAGCAATAGGAACAAGGTTTCTAAATATTCTGAGTTACTCTAGAAATAGACATCTGGAGAGATATCAGATCTTTTTCTTTCTCATCAGGAAGACATGCAGAGTAGCAGAAAATATATCGCTTCAAGAAGAGACATCAGGAAGCTTATAGAAGGAGGGCAACGTGTCCTCTAGGAAATGAGAGCTGGGACTGGCGTCCCTGCATGCTGGAGCTCCCCAGACTGAGGCTGAGTCATCTAGTCTGGCCACACCCTCACACTGGACAAAACAGAAAGCTCCCTTCCTACCCTGCTTCTCGCAGGGCAATCTTAAGTTTCTGGGGTGTAAGAGCATTTTAGAGGTAGGGGCTATTTTCTCCAAGCACCCCACCTCCAATTCATACTTCAGAGAGAAGGACTCTAGCCAATCAGTAGCATTTTGGGGTAAAATATATTTCTGTTGAATGAATGGATACATTTTACCAGCCCTAATGCAAAATATGAGATGAATGAACACATTAAAAGTAAAATCTAGGGCGCCTGGGTGGCTCAGTTGGTTAAGCGACTGCCTTCGGCTCAGGTCATGATCCTGGAGTCCCAGGATCGAGTCCCGCATCGGGCT